TTATCCGACATGCAGCATTATCACTAACATCGTGTTTTCCTCGAGAATCCTATCTTGGAAGTGCTTTACGATGGTGCCATGGAAAGAAATACGTTTTACAGCAATTTATAACATGGTATCATATTGATCAGTCGTTACGTGTCAAAAACACCTTAACGGTCGATGATATATTTATAAAAGAACAATGTGATGAAAAATATTTGAATTATCGTTTTATCGAATCGTTTAATGTTACATTTCTATCATGTTGCCAAAAACAAAATGTTGTATTAAATACAAACACGCAACTAATATACTTTGCTCGTTATCGTCGTGGTTTGGTCACCTATCATTCAAGAGTCTATTCACGAAGTGGACGAGCTATTAGTTACTATGTTTGTGTTAAAAGTGATTTATGTCCAGCTAAACGAGGAACATGTTTTGCTGAGATATTAGTATTTTTCAAATTAAACGATACTTATGCATTTATAAAAGAATATTCCTGTATTGACCGATCTTTAACAGATGGTTTAACTTGCACTGCATCGACCGTTCTTATTAAAAAATTAAACGAATTTTATGCATTTTTTAATGATAAACATTTTTCTTATAAAATTGTTCTGGTATCAGCTTTGTTGGATAAAGCTATACGTATACCATGGAATGAGAAGGATTTATCAGTTTTTACAAATGTTGCATTAGACTGGGAGCATGATTAAACTTTTTTGCCTGCATATCTTATAAAACTTTTTGGTATTTTATCATTGTATTTTTACTTCTTATTCTGACTAGATATTGCTGTCAAAGTAAAATATACAAGCATGCAAATTTCTCAATTTTTTTATTATATTAATTTCTTTTTCTTGTTTTTACGTTCTGTTCGTCTTTTGCGCTGAGCACAAATCACTATAGGATTAGTCGCACTTGCCTAGAAATATAAGCGTAGTATGAGAAGCCTCCTTAGCTCCTAAATGACCTGATCCTTTGCTTTAAGGAAAGTAAAAAACTCCTCATACTTCTACCTCTTAAATCAAAACTGCTTATGAAGTTCACACACTGATCCTCATTCATTCTCTTTCCCGAATAATCTTGCAGTATTTTTGTAACAATGATCTTGTTCTCTTATACGTTGCATCTACAAGATTTTTCTTTATTCATGTTTTGCAAGTTTGAAAACAAATGGAAACTCTTACTAGTGGACGATCAAAGAGATCGACAGCGGGAAAAAACTCGAAATATGATGAACGGAACTATATGTTAGTATCATTTCCAAAATTGAAGAAACATGCTATGGTCCCATCTCTGTTAGTAAACGTTGACCCGTTAGATAAACAAAATGGAAATATCAAAACGAACGGAACCAGAAAACCACTTCGAATAATTTGTGCTGGTAAGCAAGGGTTGGATAGCATTGTTAAATTATAGAAAAGACTGGTCTAAGATTAAAACTCCATCACTAAACTTTGGATAAATTTTTTGCAGCTAAAAAAAAGAATGACCCATGGCCATTTTTGTATAACTTTTGAATGGTGCTAACTAGATTCATTCATAACTCACTCAAAATCGAAAAAAGAACTACGTCTGAATATAAAGATATACTCGATTTTATCTGCTCAATGAGATTCTGTAGGTGCGAGTAGTATAAAATATTCACTTACTTCGGAAAATTTCTAGGAAACCTTTTGAAAACTCAAGTATTTTATGTTGGTTTTTAAAAGTTCTATCGAACTCCACGATATGTTGCAGATAAAATGGAGTGCATCTTGATATTCAGACGTAGTCTGGATCGATTTTGAGTGAGTTATGAATTTCCTAATTTTACGCGGAAATAGGCAGAAATAGGTTATTTCATCTAATATATGTTTTCACGAGGTTTTTGAACTTTTTTCAAAAAAAATGCCGCCACGAGACTCAGCGTGGTCGATAACCTATGTTTCTATTCATTTTCGGGATTGTCGCACCTTAGGGAATATCGATCCTGGGTCTCCCAACTAATCTAATGCCACACCTCAACCAGAAAAGATTAAGGGGTGGCTTAGATCCCATTTTGAAGAGGACACTTTCTTCTATCTACTGATGCAAAAAAATCAATCGCTTGATATTTTAAATTTTTCCGTTATGCACAAGTTTTGCAGAAATCCCTTGAAAAACCGGTTTTTGAAAACTTCTCTAAGAGAGTTTTCGCTTGTAAAAAGATGCTCCATAAGCTCCTATTTTTATATCTAAAAACTCCAGCTCTCTGGGTAGCACCATTCAAAAGTTATACAAAACGATCATGGATCATTCTTTTTTTTAGCTTAATAGTTTAGTTCACTATCTTCTTTTAATTATTTATAAAAGGCACATATCTTCAGAATTCTCATACATTAAAAGGTTTTTTCCTGTTTTAGGGTCAAAGTCAGAAGTTGCTGAAAGAAAAACAAGATTTGAACAAACAACTGAGAGCGAAGAAGTTATTATTAATCAGGACGATTATGAAAATGACGACGAAAATAGTGGTATTGAAGACACTGATAATTATGCAACAAAGACAGCACCTCATCGTTCGAAATTAACTCAGATGACACAACCTTATATTGGCTTCCCATCGGAAAGTAACCGTTTACCTTTAACAACAATTCAAGAAAACGATTTTTCAACGAGTGATATGCAAAGACAACGTATCAGTTTGTTCTTTTCCTAAATGATTTTTGCATAATACGTGGATCTTTCTTATTTATTAAAACTTTGGTCTTGCTCGTGGAAAATTGTCAAACTATTTTACACTTTTACCTAAAGATAATTTCCATGAAAAAGCGCCGTCCGCTTTGTGAGAGCATATTTTGGTGAGTGGAGCTCAACCAAAAAACTGGTGTGATAGTCTTCTATCACCCTAATATGAGTATAGGTGAGGTAGACCAATGTTGCGAAACAGAGAACTTAATCTCCAAGACCCTCTTTTTCTACGTTTAGACATCTTAAAAATGAAGTTTTTTTATTTGGTAGATATTTCTCATGATAGTTTGAATTTCAATCGTGTATTACCACAATCTGCACTAGGACGACGAAATGATTTGAAACATAAATCATTTGAAGATGATAATAGTTCATTGTCACCATCAGATGACGATTATCAAGAAAATAGTAGAAATCTTTATTTATTATTAGGCACACAAATTGTCAGACTAAACTCTTTCTCTCTTTCTAGGTGTTAACCTACAATCGAATATGAAGAAAACAAAATTATTTAGAAAAAATGTTGATTTAAACAATATAAATGCAAGAAAATCGAAGAAAAAAGTTGTTGTTGAAACGAATATAAATCGTAAGATTTCTGAGTTTGAAGCTATGTTATTTGTGTTATGTGTTGTACGG